CGATCCTCCGACCCCATCTGCTCCGACCCCATCTAGGAGGCCCCGAGTAACGGGTACTCGCTAACGGGTCCATTGGAAAGTTGCCGAGGGTTGCCACTTCAGGGCCTCTTGCTGGCACTGCAGCGTTGTCCACAGCGGGGAGAGGGCTGGGTTCGCCGGGGCATTGGCCAGAGTGCCCGTCAGTGGCGCCCCCGTTAGAGTTAAGTCGGGCATGTCCCTCTGCAGGAGGAATATTCAATAGTAGTTCAAAATAGTCAGGGGACGATTTGTTGATTTTTTAAAAATTTGTGGGGGGGCATTGTTTGACAATGTTTTTAATTGTTCGTCCAAAATCCGCCTGCAGGGGGACATGCCCGACCTAACGTTAGCGGGGCGCTGAAGTCAGGCGATCGCAAACATGGATTAAGGGGGCGTGGATTAGTGACGGGTCCCGTTGTCATGGGGAATCGCGGATTGCCTCCGCCGAACGAGGCGGCACTGGCCGCATTTTGGGGAGGGCACCTCCCCCGATCCATGGATTTGGCGACCGCGCGCTAAGTCCATGGATCGCTGATCCATGTTTGTGCGCCCCCGATGAAGCCCCGAGACCAGAGGCGGCGACAGGGGCGAACAGCCCGTGGGCGGCCCTGCACGCGCTTTTGCCGCTGGGGCCTCGCCGACGGCACGGGCCATCGGCGAACCCCTGGAAACGGTGGGTTCGCGTCGTGTCGACCGGCGGCGCCCCCGCCGCCGGCGTTCAGCGTGGAACGCCGCTGGCGACCCAGAACAGGTCGATGTTATCCAAACAGGCTTTCCCTAGAGTAGGTCTAAGTCAAGCCCTACTAATCGGTCCGCTGTCCCCCAAAAAAACAAATCCCATGTTCCCCCCCTAATCCCGATTGCCCTGACGCAGCTGCTGGGCCGCACGGTCCAGCACGGTGCAGTACAGTGGACTGGAGGGTGCGCGCGTGGACAACAGGATCGTCCTCATCGTCATCATCATCGTCATCATCACCATCATCGCCCACTATCTATTTGGAGTCAATGCCGACTGATGGTTATGCCAATCGTTCAAAGTTGAACGATTGCCGGGGTGTGGGGAGCCAGCGCCGTGGTCGACACGGCACGAGCCCGCGGCACACGCATTGCTCTCCACTGAGCTATTCGCCCCCGCTGTCGCCCCCGACGGGGGGCGAAGGACCAAAAATTGCATAAATATTATTTTTCCCAGGTCCGCGCGACTTTCTTGGATCAGCGATGAGCCCCCTCATCTGCGCCGCCCTTGGCGCGCTCCGCGCACCAGGGATGGGGGCCCAGCGCCGAGCCAAGACATCCGCGTGGACATCCGAGAAATTATGTTTGTGTCATTTTTGTTTCCCTCTTAGGGAAACCCCTTAGGGCAATCCCTCGTTGTTAGGGGAATTCCTTCTCTAGGGAAATCCCTCAGGGCACATCCTGTAGGGAAACCCCTTAGGGAAATCTTTATGAATTATGTCATTTTGTTGCTCCTCTTAGGGGAATCCCCAGATCTCCTCCGACGACATATTTGCTTCAAGCCGAACGTTCTTCCTCGATGTCGGCCTCCGGGGCCCATCATCGCGCCCTGGGGCAAGCATGAAGTCGGGCCTGTCCCTCTACAAGAGGAGTATTCAAAAATAGGCGAAAAAAAATGGGGACGACTTGTCTTATTATTTTTGATCATTTTGCAAATGTTCGAGTATTTTTTATGGTTCGCCCAAAATCCGCCTGTAGGGGGACATGCCCGATCTAAGGCAAGCAGCAACGGATCCGGGGCGAAAAATTGGCCCCAGGGGAAGGGGTCGGGAGCTTCGGGGCCGCGGACTGGAAGGAACACATCGTCGGATGTCTCGGAATTGGCCTCGAGAGATCCCCTCTTCTTGAGCGTGCTTCTCCTGCTCCCGCTCTTGTTTCTGTCCTGTCCTATCCCGAATATGATTGTTATTGACATTGGTTGTATGATTGTTTGTCTGACGATTCGTATGATTAATTGCGGGTCGAGCCCATCCTGTTGTTACTAATGACGTGGAGCATTTTCCTCATCATCCGCCTGCTCCTCCTCCTCCTCCTCCTTCTCCTCCTCGTCCTCATCATCATGATCATCATCCTTCCCCTTCCGTTTTCTCCTCCTCATTTTCCTCCTCCGTTTCTTCCGCAACCTCCTCCTACTCATCTTCCTCCTCAACCTCCTCCACCCCCTGCTCCTCCTCCTCCTCCTCCTTCTCCTCCTCCTCCTCCTCCTTCTCCTCCTCCTCTTCTTCTCCCTCCTCCTCCTCCTCTCGTCCTCCTCCTCGTCCTCCTCCTCCCCTCCTCCTCCTCCCTTCCCCTCCTCCTCTCCTCCTCATTCACCTCCTCCTCTCCTCCGCCTCCTCCTCCTCCTCCTCCTCCTCCTCCTCCTCCTCCTCCTCCTCCTCCTCCTCCTCCTCCTCCTTTGCCTTCTCCTATGGAGGAGGAGGAGGAGGAGGGAAAAAAAGAGTAGGGGGGGGAGGAGGACGGGGAGAGGAAGAGAGGGGGCAAGGAGGTGCCCAAAGCCCTTCCCTCCCCTCTCAGCCCCTGGTGGTGGAGGAGAAATTCGGAGGGGCAGGCATTGGCCAGACGCGCGCGAGTGGTCCGCGTGGTAATATTTGACACGGATCGTGCCCCCCACCCACCCCCGGCACGCGCGCAAGGGCGTTCGAATGAGTTCGACATGCGGCGCGAGAGGCTCGCTTGACAGAATTAGATGGAAAATTTGGAAACCCCACGGTTTACTCAAGAATCCGCAAGACCGCGCGCGCAGGACGTCTTTGAAAATTGATGTTGCAGAAGCATGTGGCTTGTATATGTTTCAGGGACATTCGTTTTTGAAATCTTTGCGACACCTATGGTTTTTCAAAGACTTCGGCCTGCGCGCGCGACGACGCGCGCGTGTGCATTTCGTCCCACTTGCTGCAAGGGATGATTGCGACAGCACGCGCGCAAGGGCGTTCGAACGACTTCGACATGCGCGCGCGAGAGGCCCGCTTCGTAGCATGTTATGAAAATGTTGGAACAAACTTATGGTTTTCCCCTAGAATTCGCAAGAGCGCGAGCGCAGGCTGTTGTTCAAAATCATTGTTGCGAAAACAACTCTCGATTTTGAAATCCTTGCGAAACGTAAGGTTTTTAATGGATTCCGGTAAGCCCGCGACGACGCGTGCGGGTGCATTTCGTCCAATTCTTTTGCAAGGGATTCTTGACAAGTGATGATTTTGGTAAACGAGTGCGCGCATAGCATTTGTTGCAGAAGACGAAGGGGGGATAACTGCCCTGGCCGAGATGGTACGAACTCAGATTGGGGATGGACGACGGGGCAGAATCATAAGTAAATTACAGTACGAAAAAGGTGTGCCGTTAAGTCCGGGGGGGGAGGTAGATCCTTATAGTGATTTATTATTAAGGGTCTACGTGGCGCAATACACGTTGTGTAATCCACACAGGGCAGCGACGGCCGCAACGAGCGCGGCGACTGACAAACCGGCCCAGACGCCGGGCGGCGACGAGGCGGCGACAGGGCGGCGACGGCGCAACGAGCGCGGCGACCAGCAGAGAGGCCCAGACGACGGGCAGGGACGAGGTGGCGGCGGGGCGGCGGCGGCGGCCACATAGCCGCCAGACCAAAGGCACGGCCCAAGTGAGAACCAAGAAGTAAGAACCCCCAGGTGCAAGCATTGTTTGGGGAACACACTGTGATGAAATATCAGGCGGGAGCCGCTGTTGTGGCAAACCGGTGGCCAGCTGCGTAATCAAAGGCGCGGTACGAGCCCCGGGAGGAGCACATTAATTGAAATTAGCTTGGCGGGGGACCTAACCATATGCAGTTGTGAGTGCCGTCGTCGTGAATATCGCTTTCGGTGGATCTCGGGCCAGGAAACGTGTGAAGGGTGTGCCAACATGGGTGGCGGGGACGGCACTATGGTCTTAGGTGGAGCTCCCTCTGGGGCCACGAAACGTGTGAGGGGTGTGCCAACATGAGTATGGCGGGGACGCATGCGGCCGCAACCACTGGGGCCTTAGGTGGAGTTTCCCATGGGGCCACGAAACGTGTGAGGGTGTGCCGAGATGATTGTGGCGGAGATGCATGCGAACGTCGCCATTGGGGCCTCAGGTGGAGCTCCTTATGGGAGCACGAAACGTGCGAGTGGTGTGCCGAGACGGGTGTGGCGGACGCATTCAGCCGCAGCCACTGGGGCCTTAGATGACTCCCTCGGGGGCCTCGAAACGTGTGAGAGGTCTGCCAAAATCAATAAGGCAGGCGCATGCGGCCGCAGCCATTGGGGCCTTAGGTGGAGCTCCCTCTGGGGCCACGCATCGAGATGGGTTTGCCGAAATGAGTGTGGCGGACGCATGTGGCCACACCCACTGGGGTCTCAGGTGGGGCTCCTTAAAGGGCCACGAAACGTGTGAGGGGTGTGCCGACATGAGTGTGGCGGACGCATGCGGCCGCAGCCATTGGGGCCTTAGGTGGAGCTCCCTATGGGGCTACGAAACGTGTGAGGGGTGTGCCGAAACGATGTTGGTGGACGCATGCGACCGCAGCAATTGGGACCTTAGGTGGAGCTCCCTATGGGCCACGAAACATGTGCTGGGTGTGCCGACATGAGCGTGGCGGACGTATGCGACCGCAGCCATTGCGGCCTCAGGTGGAAATCCCGATGGGGCCACGAAACATGTGAGGTGTGTGCCGACATTGGTTTGATGACGACGGTGACGATGACGATGATGGCGGTGATGATTGATGATGACATGCGGAGGGCGGAGGCAGGGTTGAGAGGAGGGAGGAGGGAGGAGGGAAGAGGAGTGATGATGAGGAGGAGGAGGAGGAAGAGGAGGAGTGGAAGAAGACGCGGGGCGCTGCCTCTCCAAAACCAGGCGGGGGGGGGTCAACAATAACTGTTCTGTAGAGATGGGAAACCAACCACCCTTTGAGGGTCGAAAGCCCGCCATACCCTTCGAGTCTGGAGCCCCCTCCCCCCCCCAGCGAGGCGGAGAGCGGCGGCAGGCTGGCCCTCCGGGAGAAGGCGCGCCCGGGCAGCCGGCCCGGGCAGGCCCCGAGGCTCGCGGGGGGGCGGGCGGCTCCCGAGCGCAGGGGGCGACGACGGGATCAAGCACGGACGAGGAGTCGAGGGTTGTCCCTCTCCTTCTCTTCTTCTCGTTTCTCTTCCGTGTGTCCTTGAGCTGTGGCGCTTACTCTCTGCTTTTCAGTAGGTGGTAGGGTCGGCCGCTCGGAGCCTTCGGCTCGCTGTGGTGTGTGAGTGTGTGTGAGTCGGGAGCCTTGAGACGAGGGTCAGTGCAGACGGGGGTCAGTCAGAGCGCCGGATCTTGCAGGATCCTGCAGCGCCAGGGTTGCGTTGGCCCGGGCTTGCGCGCAGACTCCTGCGGGGCCTGCCGGATCTTGCGGGATCTTGCAGAGCGCGACTGACCCGGGTTTGGATTGACCCAGGTCAGAAGATCCCCGACCAAGTCGGCTACACGCAGGAGTGGCCATTCGCCAGAGTGACCTTTGGTGCGGTCCCGCCGGGGTCCTCCGATGGCCAAACGCGATGCGATAGCAGCGTCTTGCGCGCATGGGTTTGGCCCCCCCCCCGCGGCCCCCCCAAGCCGCGCACCAAAGGTCACTCTTGCCTTGGGTCTCTCTTGTGTGCATCCGACAAAGAGTATTCTCAGAACATGTTGTGGCGTGCACGAAATGTTGTTAAGACATGTCTGGTTGAGACAGTACTGTTTCAATTCGCCGGCTTGATGTTCAAAGACTGTTTTCGTCATTGGAATACTATTTGTTCCCGACCCTCCTGCGTTGGGCTCTTGTTTTGAATTGAGCACTGCAGTCTACACCTTCCCGCCCCTCTCCTCTCTCCTCATGCCTCCTCCTCCTCCTCAACCTCCCCCTCCTTCTCCTCCTCCTCCTCCTCCTCCTCCTCATCATCATCATCATCATCCCTCCTCCTCCTCCTCCTCCTCCTCCTCCTCCTCCTCCTCCTCCTCCTCCTCCTCCTCCTCCTCCTCCTCCTCCTCCTCCTCCTCCTCCTCCTCCTCCTCCTCCCCCTTCCTCCTCCTCATCCTCCTCCTCCGCCTCCTCCTCGTCATCATATTGCCCTCTACACATCGCCGTCGCTGGGGGGCTGCAAACTGCAAAACTATCGCCACTTGCGAGTGCTGCAAGGGGGTTCAGCGGAGTGACGTCATACGCAGATCAGAACGGGACCTCGCCATCGCTGGAAAGCTGCGAACTGCGAAGCTGCCACCACTGTCAAGGGCTGCCGGCGGGTCCACCAGAGTGACGTTTTGCGCAGATCAGGGCGTGACTTAATCGTCGCTGGGCGACTGCGAACTGCCAGACGATCACCACTCGCGAGTGCTGCAAGGGGGTCCAGCGGAGTGACGTCTTATGTACCCAGATCAGAGCGGGACCTCGCCGTCGCTGGGGGGCTGCGAACTGCGGAATCGTCGTCACCTTCGAGTGTTGCTGGGGGGCTCCAGCGGATTGACGTTTTATGCAGATGAGGACGGGACCTCCCCGTTGCTGCGGGGCTGCGAACTGCGAACCTGTCGCCATTGTCGTGGGTTGTTGGGGGGTCCAGCAGAGTGACGTGTTGCGCAGATCAGAGCGGGACCTTGCCGTCGCTAGAGGCCTGAGAATTGCGAAATGGTATAATTTTCAAGAGCTGCTGGTGGGTCCAGCGAAGTGACGTCTTATGCAGACCACAGCTGGATTTCGCCGTCGCTGGGGGGCTGCGAAATTGTCACCATTTTAGATGGCAGTTGAGGAGGCCCAGCGGAGTGACGTCTTACGGCGATCGGAGCAGGACCCCGCCGTCGTTGGAGGCTACGAACTGCGAAATTATCACTAGTTTCGAGGGTTGCTCGGGCGGAGGGTCCAGCGGAGTGACGTCTAACGCAAATCGGAGAGGGACCTTGCCGTCGTCGGAGGGCTGCGAACTGCGAAATGGTCGCCACTTCCGAGATCTGCCAGCGGGTCCAACGGAGTGATGCCTCACTTCTATCAGAGCGGGACCTCGCCGTCGTTGGGGGGGGCTGCGAATTGCGACGTTGTCGCCATTGTCGTGGGCTGCTGGTGGCTCCGGCGGAGTCGTCTTACGCAAATCCGAGCGGGACCTCGCCGTCGCTGGGGGACTGCGAAATTATCACCATGTTCAAGGGCTGTTGCGGGGGGGTCCAGCGGAGTGCCGTCGTGCGCAGATCAGAGCGGGGCCTCGCCGCCGTCGCTGGGGTGTGCTAATTGCGAACGTGTCATTTGTTCGAGGGTTGTTCGGGGGGAGGGTCCAGCGGACTGACGTCTTACGCAGATCAGAGCGGGATCTCGCCGTCCGTGGGCGATTGCGAACTGCGACATGGTCGTCATGTTCGGGGGTTGTTGGGGGTCAGCGGGGTGGCGTCTTACGCAAACCAGAGCGGGACCTTGTCGTCGTTAGAGGGCTGCGAATTGCGAAGCGGTCGTCTCTGTCGAGGTTTGCCAGTGGGTCCAGCGGAGTGACGCATTAGGGCGGGGGTTGCGAATTGCGAAATTGTTGCCGATTTTGTGGGCTGTTGGTGGCCCCTGCGGATTGGCGTCTTACGCAAATATGACCGGGACTTCGCCGTCGTTGGAGGGTTGCGAATTGCGAAATGGTTGCCACGTTCGAGGTCTGCCCGTGTGTCCAGCGAGGTGACGTCTTACGTCGATCAATGCGGGACTTCGCCGTCGTTGGGGTGGGGCTGCGAATTGAGAAATTGTCGCCATGTTCTGTTGGTTGCTGGTGGCTCCAGCGGAGTGGCGTCTTACGCAAATCAGAGCGGGACCTCGCCGTCTTTGGAGGGCTGCGAACTGCGAAATGGTCGCCACTTTCGAGGTCTGCCAGTGGGTTTAGCGGAGTGACGTCTTACGTCGATCAAAGCAGGACATCGCCGTCTTTGGTGTGGGGTTGCGAAATGCGAAATTGTCGCCATTTCCGTAGGCTGCTGGTGGCTCCAGCGGAGTGACGTTTTACGCTGATAAGAGCGGGACCTCGCCGTCGCTAGAGGGCTGCGAACTGCAATATTACCGCCATCTTCGAGGGCTGCTGAGGGAGCCCAGCATAATGATGCCCCAGGCAGATTCAGATTCCCTTTGGGCCCCTTCCCCGCGGGCCGCCCGAAGACCTGGCGGCGCGCTTGCGGGCGATCACAGGTGCAGTGGCGAAGCGGAAGACTTGGCGGGCAAGGTCGGCCTCGTTCGCTTCTTGCACTAGCAATGAACAGCTGATCCTCTGAAGCGCCAGAGCGACATGGCGCGGGCCGCGTTTCTTGCTCAGCGTGCCCTCGGAAAATGACTGCCACCCTCCTTCCTCAGCCTGCCTCTTTCGTTGTCCTCTTCCTTGTTCCGCCTCCTCACTGTTGCTGTTGCGTTGACATGCCGGCCCCTCTTCCGTCCTTTTCTTGTTTGTCGCTCTCGACCCCCAGTTCCATACCGACCATGGGGCCGCAGTCCTCGCCCTTCTGTTATTGTCCCGAGAACCGTGCAACGCACGCGTGCCCCATGCAAGTAGCTTGCACAGCCAATGACAGACATTGCGCTGTGATCCACCACACGATTCTGTAACAAGTCCTCTTGTCACTTGATGCTGATGGGCTGGGTACGCCGCGGGCGCCTCCCGCCTACCGCCTCCCGCCTCCCTCCTCCCTCCTCCCTCCTCCCTCCTCCCTCCTCCCTCCTCCTCCTCCCTCGTCCCTCCTCCCTCCTCCCTCCTCCCTCCTCCCTCCTCCCGCCTCCCTCCTCCCTCCTCCCTCCTCCCTCCTCCCTCCTCCCTCCTCCCTCCTCCCTCCTCCATCCTCCCTCTCCCTCCTCCTCCTCCCTCCTCCCGCCTCCCTC